TTTTTTTTTTTTTTTAAGTAGTTCTAATTTGTGTAACGGGAATTATTAAAACAAAAAAAAAGTTCAGCTAGAGGATTTATGTCATATAGCTGTTCATTAAAAATCTCGTCCCCTTAATAAAAAGTAATTCTTGTAACCATCAATCATGGTTGTTAGTAATTATTATCATAACTATAATAATCTGATATGACAACGCAAAAGAAAATAATCAAAACCAGTATTTTTCTGAAATACTCTCTCTTCGTACCATAAGAAAAATTCTCTAAATTTAACTACTTACAGTCTTGATCTGGTTTTGCTTCACCCAGTCCACAAAAACATTTGAACCGTCAGCCTCAATTGAACCCAAGTATCCATCAAAGCACTCCTTGCGTCTGATTCTCACATTTTGTTCTTTCTCTAGCCATCTTAGAGCTGCAGATTGCGTTTGGAAAACCTCATATTGCAGTCAACAAACTGAGTTGAATTTTCGCAAAACTAAAAGAAAAACTCAATTCTGAAAATCAATACTTGTGTAGAACTAAAGGTTTCGTTCAGTTTGTGAATTTGATTTTTTAATTCATGTGACTTTATGTAAGAATTTTTAAATGTAGTTGAAAAAGTTGGATGAGAATTTTTAACTGTAATAAAATTAGAATTGAAAACTTGAATCGGTGAAATGAAACGAGACCTATATATAATTAGTTGTGTTATACACACCGGGAACCAAATTCGACTCGTCTGTCCCAGCAATGCAGTGAGGAGGATAAGGGTCTTCAGGTTTGTTTGGTTGGTGAGAATCAAGGAAAGCCATGACCGGCAGCTTTTTCTCGCAAAACTGCCTCGCCAGTGCTGCTGACTCGCTGATCATCCCGGATACCTGCCTATTCGGCTCTCTTGGAGCCTGAAGAACACGGAATCATGACATAATCATATCGTATTAAGAAAAGTAGGATGATTCAATTAACGAAATTTTATGAAAATTTTACCGTTCGAAACTGCGTCCTACCAGTAGAGTATTTATTTTATTTTATTTTATTTTTTTCAATACCCCGTCAAAGAATGAAATACAAAATGGCCTGTTGGTGATTTGATCTAATATGTACCCCTAGGAAGATATATTTTACGAGGAAAAATTTCTATATATATAATGAAATTTCTGGACCGTCAACTTTCAGTAAGATTTTATGAGATGATCATGTCTGATATGATGATCTAAATATTAAAATTTGTTTACTCTTTCTCATATATTTTTAGTGTGTGCTAGAACTTTACCAGATTTCCAGCACCAACTGTGCAGAAGCCATTGATGATGTCCACAAGAACAAGACCAATCACAGCGTCTTCAGAGAAATTTACAGTCTCCTGCTCAAGAGGAATCTCATTCCTCAAAAGATCAATTGTCTGAAGCACCATACTTTTCCACTACTATTGATCAACCGTCAACTGCAAATTTTTTTTATTTTTTTTATTTTTTTTTATGAGAACACTATGAAGAGCTAAACTCTTGGATGCTGCGTATATTTATATCCAAAATATGTTGCCAGATATATTGGATCTTATATCATAGTCTTGAATCTTAATGATAGAGTCCGATAACGCTAGAAATAACGTGTTTCTCGTCCTTTTGTGATCCAAGTCAAAAAAATTTACCAATTGATAAGACGTGAATAACTAGGGTGGAGATTTATGTCTCATTTG